TTTACAAAATACTTAACCTTACAAAATACTTAGCTTTACAAAATACTTAACCTTACAAAATACTTAGCTTTACAAAATACTTAACCTTACTTTTATTAAGATTAGATAACTACTGTATTTTCAAATCTCAGACAAACTGAACCAGTTTAGTTGTTATTCTGTTATCAATGTTGTTAATAAAAATTATAAATAACATAAGACATAGCACAGAAATTTAAGGTATGCCACTTGTGACCTTAATCCACTCTAATTTGACCCGTATTCATAACAGCCTTCTGCCTTTTACCACCCAATCAACTCTCAATCTGTTTAATAATTGTATCTCCTACCCCAGGAGATGTTATGTTTTAAGAAGTCTCTTGCATGTCACCATGTTAAAACAAAACACTTCTGAAGTTCCAAGTACACCAAAGTCACTGCATTAACTTTTGGGTGAGATGTAACATTTTTAAAGAATGTTACCAAACTTGTAACAATCCCTTTCTAAATCCATGCTGACTACCTGTGATAATACAAAATTTGCACACTCATCCTTAAAAAAGTAAGAATTTAAATCCATCTTTTAGTTTTCAGTAAATCATCGATTTTCCTCTTTGGAAGGTGCCATTCTCAGTATTCTTGTAAACTTCAATAAGATTACTTCTTAACCTTTCCTCAAGAGGTCACTTGGACATTAGCTGTCTCCCCTAGACATGTGATATTGGTCAGTCTCCAATCTTTTAGCATCTCACAACTATTATTGAATTCATTAACAGTCAGTGAAGGTCAAGGATGAAGCTACCCTTTTGTTTCCCAAGATAAACAGTGTCTAGTTGAAGTTTCTTCAACTTTACAATATTGAATGTTATCATCTCTGGCTTCATTCTTACTTCTTTTGAGGATATTGGACATAACCATTGAGAGGAAATTTACTGGACATAACCATCGAGAGGGAGATCTACTGGACATAACCATCGAGAGGGAGTTCTACTTGTGAAACCATATCTAATAAAAGCTGATGAAAAAAATAGCATTTTGGTGTTTAGTTATCTCATAAATGTCAACTAAAACACTCATCTTCACCTCCTATAAACCATCTTCCATTTTGATATTTGAATTCCCTTTAACATTACTTAAAAACGTATTTACTATTAGTGTTAACATTTGCTGCCAGCTGTCTCTCATATGCTCATTTCTGATTTACTGTTGTTTTTAATCAGTTCTCCAGTACTTGTAAAGGTTTCTTAATCTTTATTTTCAGCAGGTAATTGTAAATTTCTAATGCTTTTCTATAGTTTTCCATTTTATTTCCTTTGTAAGCCATTTATTATTAAGTTTGGCAATTTGACTTTTTTTTCACAAGGTGAAAATACTTGTTTTTATGAATAACAGTTTGACCTTCAAGTTGTGTTATGTCAGACAAACATCCCCAATCAACAGTCTGTTCTAATTTACCTGAGATTGTTTGTTATAGCATCCAAGTTATTAATTTAATAGCCTTGATCTTAACATTCAGTAAGCCTAATTATACAGTAATCATTGACTCAGATGTTCCCCCATTTTAACCTTTGGCTTTACACAATCCCATTTAATGTTTCTAAAGTTAAAATCTTGCATAATAAGAACCTACTTTATTCAATCATTTCATTAAAAGTTTCTTGTTAACCTTCTGAGTTTGATCAGGTGGTCTGTAGGAATTTTCTAACACAAACCTCCTGCCCTTTTAGCTACAGACAAGAACCTGTATTGGTTCTACGTTTGTACTAGCCGCTATAATATCTTTCAGTTAATCTGTCTGTAACTTCCTTAACTTAAATAACCACCTGTTCCCCACTCTTTTTATTAATAACTTGTATCCAGGAATTTCAAAATAATTTTTATTTGAGATACACATATACTTCAAGGACAACAAGGAATGTGTTGGTCCAACTAGGCCATCTCATCCACTATACTAAACTCTAAAATAAAAATAAAATGTTCAAAGCCAGCTCTCATTCAAATATTTATCAAGCTTTCCCTTAAACCAACTGAATCCACCACATCTGAAGGTAATTCATTCCGAAGGCCAACCACCCTGTTAGCAAAATAAAGTTGTCTTAGCAGATAATGACTTTACATAATAAATTTACACTTATGTCTCCTAGTCTTACCATTAAATAAAGATATTTACCATGCCATTCCAGGTTTCAGTAATTTTAATGATGTCAAAGTTCATCTTAATTATAGATCTGAATTTGTCCATTATATTACTGCTAAAATTTGACTAATACTACTTAAGCCTATACCTATAATATCAGAGTATTGTAAGTGGATTGTGCTGCTGCTTTTAAGTTTTTTTATTTTGTCCTGATCTTTTGACTATTTTTTTATTCCTGTTTATGATATTAAAACATTTATATCCTCACCACTTCATTAATTATTTATATCTCCTGAACAATTGGGTTAATTACTTTTGCATAAAAAAATGAGAACTTATTTCCTTACTGAAATTCAGACTGTTTATTTTATACAATTTTTTTATTTCCAACAAATGGATCCCATACATTCATCCACTCAACTTTTTTTAAAGTAACATAACATAGATTTTAACATACCAATTAGTACTTAGAACCTTCTGACTATAATTAAGCCTTGGCAATGCCACCGATAAAAATCAAATGTTGACCACCTCTAGACTTCAGTGCTTTTATCAAGTTTCTGTACTTTACTTTCGACATCATTACCTCTGACATCTGCTACACAACTGTACTTCTTTAAGTTAACTACAGTATCTTAACTATATCATCGACTCCACATCCCGAATAACACGCACTAGTTGTTCTCTCTCTGTTTACCCCTCCAAATACTACTATATCCACATACCTAATCAACCACTATCACATCATTATGCAAATATGTCGCCAATGTGTTAAAGTTTACCTAATCATGTGGTGTGTTGTTAGTCTGTTATATCTGTAGTTGAGTAAGGTATCAGTATGAAAAGTGACAGCTTGAGCTGATGATCTTATCCAACTACCTTTAATGGAGTGACTGATAGACTGGTCACTTTTCTGTTTGTAAGTTCTCACATAACAAATTGAAAAGCTACACTCATAATAAACACATTAAAGAAATCTAATCCAGCTTTAGAACACTCAAAGTATATATTTATATGAATGTAGTTTTTCAAAAGATGTTTCATTCATGTTAAATATACCTTGAAGATGTTTCATTGATGTTAACTTAAATATACCTTGAAGATGTATCATTGATGTTAACTTAAATATACCTTGAAGATGTTTCATTCATGTTAACTTAAATATACCTTGAAGATGTTTCATTCATGTTAACTTAAATATACCTTGAAGATGTTTCATTGATGTTAACTTAAATATACCTTCAAGATGTTTCATTCATGTAAACTTAAATGTACCTTGAAGATGTTTCATTCATGTTAACTTAAATATACCTTGAAGATGTTTCATTCATGTTAACTTAAATATACCTTGAAGATGTTTCATTCATGTTAACTTAAATATACCTTGAAGATGTATCATTCATGTTAACTTAAATATACCTTGAAGATGTTTCATTCATGTAAACTTAAATATACTTTGAAGATGTTTCATTCATGTTAACTTAAATATACCTTGAAGATGTATCATTCATGTAAACTTAAATATACCTTGAAGATGTTTCATTCATGTCAACTTAAATATACCTTGAAGATGTTTCATTCATGTTAACTTAAATATACCTTGAAGATGTATCATTCATGTTAACTTAAATACACAATTACATAAAAACCTTTTTAAAAACGATTTGAACATAAATATAGCATTCCAAATTTGGGTGTTCGGAATGTAAAGAAAGAACATGAATCGAGCTGTGTTCTTTCTGATAAACTTAGGTGTTAACTTTGCAATATGTATCTCTAATCAACCTCTTGAAAATATCTGAAACCTGTTCTGAACAGGGTTGAAAGAAGAATGAGTACGATTAAATGTCACTAATTGTTTATGTTTTTTGTGATAAGGTCTCAGGAAACTGGGAAGGGCGAAGAGGAGGGAGTAAGGCCTCCTAACCCCCAACATCAGGCTGCTTCAAAAAGAGTGCAGCAGACCCAAGCACAGGTGGATGAGGTATGTTTATAGTGTGTGTGATAAGATAGATATTTATTTTTGAAGTTTTTTATTCAAGACTGATGAATGAAGGTTTTTTTTGTACATTAAGTTATAAAGTTTTTTAAACTCAAAACATTGAATATATGATTTTTTATTAAAGTTTTTGTTGTATGGTCAGGTTAAGTATTTTGTTTGCAACCAGTACATGATTTAGAATCTGAATAACGTTTTTCTTTTTGCTTTAAATATATTTTATTCCAGAATTCAAGATACTGAGCTTACAAATGTTTGTTTTTACTGAGATAAAGGTTGGATATCTTTCATATAACTCAAACTCTTGATTGGATTGAAGATGTTTTTGTGTAAAAGTTGGATTTTGTTTTTATTTTTCAGAGTACATCCTCTTGAATTTAAGTTTCTACTTTATATCAGAATTCAATGACGAGGAACCCACTTTACAAAACCTTGTCGAAACGTTGTACATTTGCTGTTATGTTAAACTT